CATATAAAATAGGTCACTTTGGAGATGTTTTTGGTATGAGTTGGGCATATCAGTCAGGCTTGTGCCCCATGTGTATAGCAAAGGCCCTGGCAAAACACAAAGAGAAAAAGGCAAGCAGGTTGCAGGCTCGCTGCCCAAGCTGGTCTGTATCTGTGGTTCCCCCAGATACCTAGACTTTTGCTGTCACCGCATTCATCTGCCCTAAGCTAGATGTCAATACTCCAGCATTGTGTGAATGTTCTCAGCAAGAAGAAAGGATAGGGAGCAAAAGTATTTTTGCCACCACCCTCTCCCACCTTTAAACGTTTTCTCAGGAGCCTTAACTAGTGACTCCTGGTTGCATCTTTCTGCTTGCAAGGGAGACTGGTTTTGTGCTAGGCGTGGTGCTGTGGGGTATGGGAGTATGTAAGCCATGCTCAGATGCGCTTATCCCCATGGTGATGAAACCCAGTGTGCACACAGCTGCCTTTCTTGTTCCTTCTTTCCTCCTTACCAACTTCAGCGTGGTTCCTTCCCTCATGCGCCTCTCTTCTGCTCCCTGTAACTCTCATACACAGAGGCTCTGGGGAATGCAGCTAATTAGCTGCATATTGTTTCCTGCTGGATAAGCTTTAGTCAGTACTACCTCTGTGGTATTGCTAAACATTCATACTTGTGTACAGAACAATTCAGAAGGACACCCTGCTTGGCAGAATCCTGACGTTTCCAGTTGTGGAAATGACCATTGGCCGACACATTGCGTGGCTTGCTTCTCTCAGAAGACAATGCAAATGGATGGTACACAGATGGAAAAACTAACTCATCCATCAGAAAGAGAGGGGAGAAACACTAGCCTAATAAAAAGATGCCACTTAAATTTGTCGGTGTTTTCATTCGATGATATGCAGTGTTGGCTAGAACATAGGGAAATGGAGACCCCTAATTATGTTGCTGGTTAGAGTGTAGATCTTTCCAGTGTGTAATTTGTCAGTATATATCATAAAGAAACCTAGACAATGCAGTGGGTAAGCCCTCAGCTGGTAACAAAGGGTAGCAGTTTGAACCCACCAGCAGCTCTGCAGGAAAAAAGATCTGGCGATCTGTTTCAGTAAAGAGTTACAACCTTTAAAGATTTGTAGCCTTGGAAACCATATGGGGCAGTTCTTTGTTGTGTAGGGTGGTTATGAGTCAGAATTGACTGGAGGGCACACAGTAACGATAACATGTCAATAGCCTTAAAATGTCTATGATAATAATACTAGATAACATAGCCATTCCAATTCTAGGTATTTAACCTTAGCTAAGATTTTGTTATGTGGATGTTTTTTGTGACATTTTTTATAAATTGAAAAGAGCCCAAAAATCTAACCTGAAGTGGATTTTTAAATGAATATTGTTACCTCTGTGTATTAGAATTAAAATTTGAAACTGTCAGCTCATCACAGATACCTTCTGGTGAGTACCATGTGGCCACTTCCCTGGTGGGGATACTGGAAACATGACAGAAGCACCATAGGTTCCTGACCCAAACTCCTTGATGGTTCCACTGGACAAAGCTGTATGTGTATTTGCTTGCTGGTTGTTAACTTGACAGTGGCTCTAAGTAACTTCTCTATTGGTTTCTTTCCTCAGGGCTGCTGGAGTGATGTGGTTGGAAGACGCCCTTCTCTGCTGATGTGCATTCTCTTCAGTGCACTGGGTTATCTCATCCTGGGTGCGTCCACCAGTGTGCTCCTGTTTGCCCTGGCTAGAGTCCCTGTAGGTGAGTTCTTGTCCCTGTGTGTGCTGTGTGTATATATTCTCTCAGGAGTTAAGGTTAACCTTTGGCTAAGGTGTGTGGCTAAGGTCTGTGGTGTGTGTGTGTACAGTATGTGGAGGCATGTGTCTTAGTGCTCAAATTTATTTTGTCACACTTTAGAAGGCAAGAAGTATACATTCAGGGTGCCGGCTCTAGGGTTGGACCTTTTCTGTCTGCCTTGCAGGAGGGTCCTCATCGCTTCTGAGTTTCATCTTCAGGGTGGTCTTCATGTAGCTTGGCATCTCACTCCCCCTGTCTCTGCTTGCTTCTTTTAACTCTTATAAGAAAGTACTCAAGACATACCCAACACTAATCCTACCTTATTAATATACCAGAAAACTTATTCTCAAGTGGGATTATAGCCACAGAAATAGAAGTTAAGATTTACAACACATATTTTGGGAGGACACAACTAATCCATCACAGCATCTGTGTGTGTTTATGTATGTATGTAGATTCAAGGGCATTTCAGAACATTCATGAAACAATTCTATTATCTTTTCATTCCATATTCCACAAACTTTCTGAAACCTCCCTGTATATTATATGTATGTATATTATATGTGTATATGAGTATGTGTGTGTGTGTATGTATGTACACATAATGAAGGGACTTCAAAAAATTTATGGAAAAATTCTACTATCTGTCACTTTTCATTTCTCCATGAAATTTTTGAAGCTCCCTTGTGTATGTAGGAGTGCCGTAGCTCCATAGGATAAGCACTCGACTGCTAACCACAGGGTCAGCAGTTTGAGACCACCAGCTGCTCCTTAGAAGAAAGATGCGACTTTCTGCTCACACAAAGATTCAAAGCATCAGAAATCCTATACAGGGTCACCCATGGTACTTAACAGCAACAACAACTTTAAATGTGTGTGTGTGTATACACACACACACACATACATATATACATATACATGCATGTTATTATTAGGTGCCATCAAGTTGATTCTGACTTGTAGTGACCCCATGCACCACAGAACGAAACACACACATACAGTCATATACATTATAATATGGTTTTTAGGAATAGGTAATACTTATAGGGACTCCTGGTGTGGTGCTGCTGATAATGCACTGGACTACAAGGTCGGTAGTTCAAACCTAAAAGCTGCTGCTTAGAAACCCTATACAGGGTAGTTATGAGTTGGAACCAATTTGACTATACTTCACAACCACCTCTTTGTCAAGTTTGTTATTCTCTGATAGCTTGGGTGTTGCTGTGATGCTAGACTTTAAGCCACCAATATCTCATAGATCAACAGGATTGTCCATGGTAGACAGTTATTAGCAGATGTTCCAAATTAAGATTAGGAAGAAAGGCTTGGTGATCTACTTCTAAAAATTAGCTGATGGAAACCTTATAAATCACTGTCTGCCTCTCTCACTTTGGGCACATCATTGGGAGGAATGAATTGGCCCACCTTCAGTGAGATGACTGACATATTAGCCTCAGCAGAGGACTGCAACATGCTGGCGGCTGTGGGGATGACACAGAACTGGACAGTGTTTCACATTGTTGTACGGAAGGGTTCCATGAGTTAGAGCCGACTCTGGGAGTTAGGAGACACCAGTGCTCATAGAGTGAACCTGTCCCTGCTTGCCATGACCTCTGTGTTTGGAGCCTTTACAGTATTTTATAGCAGTTGCTGTACAACTGTTACTGTTTATTGAGCACCTCTGCCAGGTACTCTGCCACCTTGTGCAAAGCTATATACCTAGTACCTGACAGAGCTCAGGGTCTGTCAGTGAGGGGCTGCTGTGCTGGAAACACCACAAAGGATGGCATTCACAAACATATTTATTTTCTCCCTGTTATGGAGGCTAGACATCCAAATGCAGTGTGTTAGCTTTAGGGGGAAGGTTTGCTCTCTGTAACAGCTCTGGAGGGAGCATCTGCTTCTTGTTTCACTGGAGCTCTCCATGTTTCTTGGCATCTGTCTTAATGCCATCTCTGTTCTGCTTGCTTATATAATTTCTTATAGCTCAAAAGAGATGATTTTAAATGCACTTTCCACTCATCTTTTTTCTCATTAACATAACATAACATAACAAAGGCAACCCAGGCCCAAATTTGGAGGGATTGTAGCCACAGAAATAGAACACATATTTTGAGGGGATACAACAATGAGCTTATCATTCTGTAATTGGACTTCATGGCTTCAAACTTAGATACTCTGCTATACCTTTTTCTGAAGCATTTTGTAAAAGTATTATTGCTTAAGAGGATGCTAGATTCCTGGTGTGGCACTGGAGGATTTGCACTGTACTGTGAACCACAAAGTCAGTGGTTCAAACCCACCAGCTGCTCCTTGGAATCCCTATACAGGGTCGCTATAGGTTGGAATCGACTCAACGGCACTTAACAACAACAAAAGGCTACATATGCCTCATGGGTTAGTTTTACATTTCTAGGCTGCTCTTGACTTTTTCTAACATTTTTTAAAATACCATGTATTTTGCCCATCCTTTGAAAGGAAGACCCTCAGTGAGATGGATTGACACAGTGTCTGAAACAGTGGGCTCAAACATAACAATTGTGCGGATGGTGCATGCTTGGGTAGTGTCTCGTTCTGATGCCTACAGGGCCACTGTAAGTCGGGACCAAGTCGACAGCACCTAACAGCGACAGCCATCCTTTGCAAACAGCATTCTCAGTCCTGGCAGACTTACCCTCAAACCATTGTTGTGACCCAGATCTGACTCTGAGCCCCAGCCAAAGAAAGTCATTGCTGGTAAGTCAGTTCTGACCCACAGTGACCAGCTAGGACTCCAAAGCTGTGATCTGTATAGTAACAGACAGCCACGGCTTTCTCCCATAGAGGGCAGCAGAGTTCTGGTCTAGCGGAAAAAGACCCCAAATCCAAATATGTTTTATGGAGACCAGTCATCCAGATAAAGGAGAGCGTTAGCATGAGACCGTAATGGTGTCCCGAGGAGTCACGGCCCCCTAACTAATTATACAGAACATGGGAACCAAGAAATTTGACATAAAATCTTAATTGGCAGGGGATCTGTTCATCACTGCCTCAGGCAGGCCTCCAAAAGCAGGAAAGAGACCTTGATTGGGATACATACACTATTGCAGGCTAGGGAAGTCCATGCGATTGGTTCTGGGCCTGCTAACTACCTTGTTCAGGGTATGACTCATGGTCATGAAACCCTGGCACCCCAATTTCCATTAAAGGCATAAGGAAAGCCCCTGAGAGGAACACTGCCCCTACCTGGGCTGGCTTTCAGACATACTCTACCTAAGGGGAAAAGAACTCAGTGCAGCCTGAATTTATGTCAAGACTCAAAATAGATTTAGAACTCCCAGTGTAAAACATGGGCTCCTGGTGTTGCACTGTAGGATCAGTACTGGGCTATGAACCACAAGGTTGGCAGATCAAACCCACCAGCTACTTCTCGGAAACCCTATGCAGAAAAAACTAGATGGCACTTAACAATAACAATAGACACCATTGTTGTTAAGTGCCTTTAGGTTGGTTCGGACTCACAGTGACCCTGTGTGGGGTTTCAGAGGAGTGACTGGTGAGCTTGAACTGCCAACCCGCGGTTCAAACCGCCATTGCAGTCCAGCACATTAAGCCACAACATCACACCAGGAGTCCAATATAAACCACAGCTTTCCACAAACCAAGTACTTAAAATTTAAGCTCTGATACAGCTCAACCCAGCAACCTTTCAGTCATCAATCAAGTGCCCTGAGGGCTCCTCTCTGAGACCAGGTGGTCTATAAATACTGGGTGGAGTTAACAGGGGGTTAGCTATGGTGAAAGCTCCTTGTTCCCTTTCTGTTTTCTGCAGATGGGATGCGGAGGTGTTTTGTTTGTTTGTCCTTGTTTTGTGTCATTTTACCCACTAGAGCACTCGCCGACTCTGCTACCCTGTTCAGCAGCTCTACAGTACTGTGCTGCTCTTGTTAGCCAAGGTCATTGTCTTAGTTATCAGTGCTGTTCCCGCAGAAATACCACAAGTGGATGGCTTTAACAAACCATTTCTAACTGTTTAGGAAGTTAAAAGTCAGTATTCTAGCTCCTAGGGATGCCCTTCTCCCTGTGTTGGTTCTGGGGGAATGTCTTTGTCTCCTGTCAACATCTGGGAGCCGGACGTTCTTTGGAGATCTCCTTGTGTCTTGGAATCAGTCTTCCCTCTGGGTCTAGGAGATTCTCAGTGCAGACACACACTCCCTACTCGTGGTTTGTATTTCCTGGGGGTACAGAACTCACCCCCTCTGCCTACTCAGGCACTGCCCCCAGGAGAAGTCTCCTTACAGGGATCTGGGCTGTAATGTGAGTTAGGATCCTGATGTAAGTAAGGGTGCCACATCCCAGTCTAACCCTGTCTCATTAACATAACAAATGTTACCTGAGCCTTTATTACATTCATTGACCCTACCTCCTGAACCTCAGGCAGAGGTTGGAATTTATGACCCATCTCCAAATGGAAGGTAATCCATACACCACTGACATCATAGCCTAGCCAAGTTGACACATAGTTGGGGGGACAAAATTCCATCTACGACAGCCATATCTAACTCCTCCAATGAATAAAGCAGAGACACAGTCGCTTTAACATACAAGATGAGCAGCTTACTCCGTGACGTCTGTTGTTGTTGTTGTTAGGTGCTGTCAAGTCGGTTCCAGCTCACAGTGACCCGGTGCACAACAGAAGGAAACACTGTCCGATCCTGTGCCATCCTCACAATTGCATTGGTGCCCATTGTTGCTGCCACTGTGTCACTCCGTTTCATTGAGGGCCTTCCTCTTTGTTGCGGATCCTCCACTTTACCAAACATGATGTCCTTCTCCAGGGACTGGTCCCTCCCGATAACAGTCTATTGCATTCACCCTCCAGTATTTGCACTGTACCTTTTTGTTGACTTAAGGAAATGACTTTTGAGGATGTTTGTTTTCGTTATAGTCAATAATGTCAACAAACACCAAAGCTCAAATTGATATTGGTTCCATCTGCTTTGGGGACCAGATCAGTTCTACGTGGTTGGTTTGGTTGACTGGGTGTCTTCACCATTCATAACTCTTAAGAAATTGTGAGGGAGATAAATAAAACAATGCCACTAGGTTTGTTCTACAACAGGTAGGGTTTATGGTAAGGACTGAAGAGTTTTGTTCACTGGTTTGTTTAGTGATAGATCTGTTATATAAAATCATAATCTTTGCAAGCTGAAAGCAGCGGACAAAAATTTTTCCTTGCCAGTGTCAACCTTCAGTATTTGGTGGCCCCCACAATCACGAAGGACACCTAGACCCTTCTGCACAGAGTCAATTATGGATTAAGGTCCCTGTCGCCCGAGAAGGAACGATTAGCTTCAAGTGTGCTTGGGATTCAAGTGCCAGAGTTAGACACCCATCTGCCCCTGCCCTCGCTGCTGTCTCCACGCTTTTAGCAGGCTTAGAGTCTACTTGCCACAGCCCTCTACATTCAAGTGTGTATCGTGAGGCCAGGAATGAAATGATCTCAAAAGTAACCACTGAATTCTTCTAAGACTTGTTAGGAATCACCTTCTCGCCCAGTACTTTCTCACATTTAAGGAACAGGCCTAGAGAGTCAGTCTTCTTAACCCCAAATATGATTTATGTTTGCTTCCTGTAGAGGCTAGTTATGAAGCAAACACCCACTCTAGTTTTGAGGCAAGTCTGGGACTAGAACCTAGGACGTAGGTGTTGAAGCCCACATGGGCATAGCAGTGTGCCGAGTGACACTTTCAGCAGGCACGGCTCCAAAATCACTGGGTCACATCACAGTCAGGAGTGATTCAGGTAGACCAGCCAGCAGCATTTCTGGAGTTTTTACTCTGTGTTGAACGGAACAGCAGACAAGTTGTGTTATGAGAGCCCTCCGTATAGTGATGAGTGTACTCGTTCAGCATGTGGTTATCTAGGGACACAAACCCTGTAAAATGCCACTGTGGGTTAGTGCACTGGACTGCAAGGTCAATTTGAACCCTAAGGTCTGTGGTTCAAGCTTACCAGTTACTCCTTGGAAACCCTATAGAGGGAGGGTTGCTATGAGTCAGAGCTGATTTGAAGACAGTTGACAATAACAATAATAAGCTCAGCACATATACTTCAATCTGCTATTAAAAGTATAATAGAAAATCTGTTCATATGAGTTAGGTGACTTCCTCATCTTCTCCTCTATCCTTTGATGCTCTTTGTTTCTAGCACTGTTGTTGTTAATTGCATTGAGTTGGTTCTGACTACGCAGACAGACCCTGTAGAGGGTTTCCGAAGAGCGACTGGTGGGTTTGAACTACCAACCAGATTCCTTTACGTATGTATTTATATGGTCTCTTTACTGTGGGTAAGTGCTTTCGAGTTGGTGCCTACTCATAGAGAACCTCTATAGGGTTTTCAAGGAGCAGTTGGTGGGTTTGAACCCCTAACCTTGTGGTTAGTTGTTGTTGTTGTTAAGTAACGTGGAGTCTGTTCTGAATCATAGTGACCTTGCACAGGGGTTTCCGAAGCTGTTTATGGGAGCAGAATGCCTCATCTTTCTCCTGCGGATCTGCTGGTAGTTTCGAACTACTGACCATGAAATTAGCAGCCCAACTCGTAACCACTACACTACCAGAAGTTAGTTGCTTATCCTACAGTGGCATACCCGCACTCTTATATATAACCTTCTAAAATATTTAAAAATAAAGTTTATGTTCCACATAACCCTTTCTCACTCTCCTCTAAAATACAAGCATTACCAGGGCAGGGATATTTGTTTCTTTCCTTTGTCATTTCTGTATGTTTTTATTTATTTGATCTCTTGTTGTTGTTAAGTGCCCTCGAGTCTGTTCGGACTCATAGCGACCCTGTACTGATAGATGTGAATCTCCGGCCTTGCTTGCAGTTAGCAGCCCAGTCCTGACCCGAGAGTGCCATAGCAGGTCTTCAGTCCTTGCTTAATCCCCAGGGTCTATATCAGTAGTAGGCACAGAGTAGACAGAGTCATGTGTGAATGAGTATAGAGTGAGTTCCTTGTGATAGTGTGCTATCATGTCATCAGAGCTAAGGAGACCACCTGTTACTGGGCTGCTGCAGAATGGAATGGAGACGCGGGAGTCTGGCTAAGGCGGAGCAGACTCGAGCTCTTCCGAGGCTGAATGAAAGTGGAGATCACAATTCCATCAGGGACTGCAGTTAAGTGTAGTATCCAAAGTGAGATCTGTTTGACTGAAGGAAAACTACAGACCGTCTTTACTGTTCCCATTGCAGGTATTTTCAAACACACTCTCTCGCTGTCAAGGGCTCTGCTTTCTGATCTGGTTGCAGAGAAGGAACGGCCACTGGTCATCGGACAGTTTAACACAGCATCGGGTGTGGGCTTCATCCTGGGCCCCATGGTTGGGGGATATCTCACTGAACTCGATGGTGGATTTTACATCACAGCACTCATCTGTTGTGTTGTCTTCCTTCTGAATGCCGGTAAGATGACATTTAACTATGACAAGTTTGTGCATTCATACTGCTCAGCATACTCAGTTTTCTCTCATCCCCGTTCATTTGTGTCTAGGAATAGGCAGACTCATCTTTCAGATCGAATCAACACCAGCAGTAGACCCCCAGTGGCATCGCATCACCATTTAGCATGCAACCCATGTATATTTCACGGCCTGTACCCTGTCCCTGTAAACCTGCCCCCTGTCATGTGTGCCCTCTCCTCCCCAAGGCTGGCTTCACTGCTGACGCCATACGTGCCAGCCTTATGCTCCTTTCTTCCTTCACCTGGAACCTTCTTCCTATGTGTCTTCACTCACGCTGACTTCTCAGCACTCAGCTCGCAAATATTTCTCTTCTCAGAAAAGCTTTCTCTGACCATTTGTCTACGATACTACAATTTTCTTCAAAGCCGGTCTGAAAGATTATCCATTCATTGTCTTAGTTTCTGTCTGCCTTTTTATAACTACCTCCCCTCCCTAACACACTAACACACACACAAAATAAAAATAAACTAAAACTCCACAAAGGCTAGGATGTTATCTGATATACTGATTTTTACCTTCTCAAGACAGGAGTCCTGGTGTTAATGTGCTGCAGGTTAATGTGCTAGAATGCAGGATCAGTTTGAACTACAAGGTTGGCAGTTCAAGCTCACCAGTTGCTCCTAAGAAACCCTATACAGAGTTACTGTGAGTCCAAACTGACTCCACAGCACTTATCAACAACAGCAGTGGATCCTGGGGTAGCGCTGTGGGTTAATGTGCCAGACAGCAAAGCCATTTGAACTGCAAGGTCTATGGTTCAAGCTCACCAGCTGCTCCTCTGAAACCCTATACAGGGTCACTATGGGTCGGAATCGACTCAATGGCATACAACAACAAGACAGGCTAGGCATATAGCAGATGTGCAATAATAATTTATGAATAAAAAGAATCTGTTAGTCTGTGAGCTCCATTGGTTTAAGACATGTGTCTTCCTATAGTCCTCTAGCTTAGGACTGGAAAATGGCAGTTCTCTGGGTAAGCAGCTGAACAAATAGGTTAATTCATACTGTTTTCTCATCAGTGTGAAGAGATTAGGTTCGGGAACCACCCTAACAAAAGAAACCCCTATGTCCACAAAAGGGTCAGATTCATTAGGTGCAGTGACTAGGACTTCAACATCTTCTTGAGGGGGTCACAGTTGGACCCATAACACTCATGAACTTTGCTTCCCAAGGCTGAAATCCTAAAGCAACAAGGAATTCATCACTCAACGTGGAACCCTGAGCACAAAGATTCACAAAGTTGCAGCTCTAAGCCCCTGTTTTATAAATGAAGGGCTTGAGGCATAGAGTATGTCACTGTAGGATAAGCAACAAACTGCTAACCACGAGTCTGGGAGTTCAAACTCACCAGTGACTACTCAATGGCTACATCATACTGATGTCTTAGGAAAAGGGACAAGAGTTAATATGCACACGCAGGGAGAGCCACGGTGACAGGGGCAGATGGATCTGTAAGTAGCAAAGGAATGACAAGAATTGAGATCTGACCAAAATCCTGATTTGAACTTCTAGCCTCCAGAACTGAAAAAAATCTGTTTATGTTTTAAAAAGCCATCCCTTGTGTTTGTTATGGCAGCCGTAGGAAACTACGATGGGATTTAATCCCAAACTTCCTAGCAATACTTGATGGTTTTCTGCTAAAAACATAACCTGCGACCTCAGGTAGGAAGTGAGACCTGTGAAGAGAGCCGCGTGGCTCAGCGTCCCTCAGGATAAAATGAAGTCAAGCACACATCTCGTTTCCTGTGGCCAGGCACCAACATGTATAAAGGAAGGTACAAAGAACTGGAAATCACTGAAATTCATAAGTCAGGGTGTGGGAACAGGAAATGGTCATGAAGTTCTACTTTTGATTCTCTAACGATAGTACTTTTTAATAGTTTACCCTACCCTGAGCTTGTTAATAGGTCTGAGCCAGTTAGGAATACATTCAGCTGCAGTATTGCCACCGACAGTGGCTTAACCTCATGGGGATTTGCTCTTCTCACTTAGGAAACTTGGCAGTGAGTCCCAGGCCGATGCAGCTCTCGGCAATGCCCTCGTGGCCTTTTTGTTTTCTGCTCCAGCATCCTTAGTTAGTTCATTCTGTGCTTGTCAGTTCACAAATGCAAGATGTTCCTGCGTCTCCAGGCAGCATGGTCATTCCAGGCAGGACAGAAGCAAAAGCAAAGTACTTTTTTTTTTTCCCAAGTTTTCTCCAAGTCAGCTCTGACTCATGGTGACCCCACAAGGTTCAGAGTAGAGTTGTCCTCTGTAGGGTTTTCCTGACTATCGCCTTTCTGAATTGTTGTTGTTGTTGTTAAATGGCATCGAGTTGGTTCTGACCCATAGCGACCCTGTACAGGGTTTCCGAGGGTGTAAATCTTTACGGGAGTAGAAAGTCTCATCTTTCACCCGTGGAGCGGCTGGTAGTTTCAAACCACTGACCTTAAGGTTCACAGCCCGATTCGTAACCACTACACTACCAGAGCTCCTTTAGATCACCAGAACTTTCCTCCGAGGCAACGCTGAGTTTGCACTGCCATCCTTCCACTTAGCCCAGTGCATACCCACGTGTGCCACCCAGGAACTCCGGCATGTGGGGCTAGTGGCTTCCATATTAAATCGTGGGATTCAGGACATTTCTATAATTGCAGCAAGTTCTATTAGTCAACAGCGTGACCCAAGCAGGCCAGGTTTTCATGAACACAGAAGGAATGGGAGTGTGTCTCACAGAGGTCTGTGTCCTATAAGGACAATTCATTGCTGTTTTAATTCCAAATTTGCCTTATCTTTCTCCCCAGTGATGAGAACTGTTTTTCTGTGCCTTGTCTCTCAACCCCTGCTTGACTTCTTATGTCTTTGCTCTGACCTGCCATTTTGCCCCAAAAGCCTTTTATGTCTTTTTGTCATGGTTGTGTTCTCACACTTAAGAACTCAAATCCTGGAGTCCAGCAAACTCGGATTCAGATCCCTGCTTTGCTACCTTTTAGCATGTGGCCTTGGGCCACTTATTCTGTGTCTCAGTGTCCTCATGTATATAGTGGGGGAGAGCCAAACTCAGAGAGTTGGTGTGAGACCTCGAAAAGGTTATGAATTAATTAAGAAATGTCAGTGGTTAGCATCATCATTAAGGAGCTCTGGTGGTATACTGGTTACGAGTCAGGCTGTTAACCTCAAGGTCAGCAGTTCGAAACTACCAGTTGTTCTGTAGAAGAAAGATGAGGCTTTCTGCTTCTGTAAAGATTTACAGCCTTGGAAACCCTATGCAGGGTCACTGTGAGTCGGAACTGACTCCACGGCACACCACCACCACCACCACCACATCAACATTATCCATTTTGCTATTTTAATAATCATTAGTGACAATTCTTTGAAACTTCCAGGAACCCAAGGTATAAATAGATGGAAAATCCAGATCTGTTTTCTCATGTGGTTAGTTTTCTATCATAAATTGGTCTTGGGAGTGAGGTACTTAGGCTATAGTTGGAGAAATCACATATACAAATGAAACTTCTGAAAACATGAAACATTGCTGTGAATTGCCAATGATCCAGGGTGAACTTGTACTGAAAAACCAAAAAAATATATATATATATCATGATGAGTTCAAGCGATTCCTAGAATGGCAAGTTTGAATTTAGTTTTTAAGAAGGTGTAGATTGCCAAGAGATCCCACCAGTTGGAAGACATGGAGTGAAGACAAGAGAGTCAGGGATGTGACCATCTTAGAGGGAGGGAGGTTCTTCTGAGCAGGACTCCACGCTGCTGCATGAGTTAGGTTGGTGAGGGTCTCTGAGAACGGCCCGTCTCTTGAGGTTTGACAGAACACACAAAACAAAACAAAACCTGCTGCCAGTGAGCTGATTCCAACTCATAGAGACCCTACAGAACAGAGTAGATCTTTCCTATAGAGTTTCAGGATTAGATAAGAGTAGGTTTTACAGAAGTAGACAACTTCATCTTTCTTCCCCAGCAGCCGGTGAGGTTGACCAGCTGACCTTGCAGTTAGCAGCATAACCCTTAACCAACTGTGCCCCCAGGGCTGCTTGCTGAAAGCATGAAATCAAGCCAGTGCTTTCTAGCAGTTATTGCTATCTGTTCCTGCTCCACCCTCACACCAAGGCTGGCTGTCCTGGTCCATCCTCCAACATGGTACTTACTTACACCATAGCTACCTGTTTGTCTAAACTTTGAGTAGATGTGAGTTCCTTGAGGACAGGGCTTGATAAGCCTTTTCTTGTTTTCAATAGATTCTTGGGTATAGCAAACTATCATAGACTATTGAGCTCTGGGAGAAAATAGTGAATATTTTGTAGAGATTGGATTTTAAAAAAAAAACAAACTTTTTATACAGAGTTGTATGAAGGTTTACAGAGCAGATCATCAGTTTGACGTTCAACTAGATTTTTTTTTTTTTTAGGTGGCTAGCAAGTCACTTGTCAGAATTGTGACATTCAAAATAAAGGGATCAGCGGGGTGGTGGGAAATTGGATTAAGGGATTCTGTATAAAATACAGGTGAATGCTCTAACCCAAATGATTGCTTGCCCCTGCATTTCAGCTTACTCTAACTGATTTCGCCCCACGGTACAGGTCTCGTTTGGGTATTTCCGTGGAGTGAAGGAAAATTCAACACTACCAAGAACCATACACCCTCAGGAAAGACAGAACAGAAAGCGCAGGATACAACCACAGCCCTTGGGGGCCCCGCACCTGAGAAGACTCCTGTCCACCCCTGGAACGAAGTCTTGTTGGCATTGCGGGCCATTAAGGGCCTAATATTTTCTGAAATGTGGGACATATTTGTAGTGCGCTTGCTGATGGCTGTGGCAGTCATGCTATACTATAGTAATTTTGTCTTGGCCCTGGAGGAGCGCTTTGGGGTGAAGCCCAAGACTACAGGCTACCTGATCAGTTACAGCAGCGCCCTGGGGGCCCTGGCCGGCTTCACCTTGGGGCCCCTCATGAGACTGTACAGGTACAACTCTCACAGGATCCTCCTGCACTCCAGCCTGCTCACCTCCACACTGCTGCTGCTCTACGCCACGGCCCACACCATGGGCATTGTCGTCTTCTCCTCTACCCTACTCTCCTTCTCCACTGCAGTCGGCAGGACCTGCATCACAGACCTCCAGCTGAGCGCGGGCGGGAAGCAGGCCAGCGGCACACTCATAGGCCTGGGACAGTCAGTCACCGCGGTGGGCCGCATCATCGCCCCTCTCCTCTCTGGGCTTGTCCAAGAGGTTAGCCCTTGTGGCCCACCGAGTCTGGGGGCAGCACTAGCCTTAGTGGCTGTTTTCATAATGTCACTAAAGGGACCTCATGCTGGTGCTGACAGGAGTGGTAAATTAAAAAGTGAGTAGAACAGATAGACCAAGCTGAGAAAGGTGCTTTGGGAAGGGCTGGTGGTGTCACTTGATCAGGTGGTTGTGCCCGGCTGTGAGGAGGGTTCCCCATCAGCCTTCAGCTCACACAGCCACAGCCATGCCTGCGGGTGTCCAGATGTCACTGGGCACGTTGGAAGATTAAGACAGAAGCAAACCTTTGCCTAAGGGGAGGAGTCTCATCTTCCCAACTGGGCCAGTGAGGCTAAAATGTTCCTAGTGGGAGAAAGTTTCCAGGGACAGGCTAGGGAAGGAAATGGTGGTTAGGATAAACAGTACCTGATGTATGGGAGGAAGGAAGAAGCTACAATGAATTCTCTACTAAAGAAGAATAAAGGTACGCATTAATCAAGTGCCAATCAGCCGGGACGTGGGTTTCATGTTGACTTTCATAAACTAAGAGCTAACTTTTCTGCAATTGAAAATGCTAAAGAGGAGAGCGGAGTTCTGGTGTGGCACTGTAGAATAAGCAGTGGACTGCTAACTTGGCAATTTAAATCTACCAGCTGCTCCTTGAAAACCCTATACAGGGTAGATATGAGTGGGAACTGACTCGAACGCACTTAACAATAAAGAAACGGCTTTATTAAACTCAGCCTGTTACTTTCTTAAGAAGGTTATGAGTGGTAGTTTCACTAGGGGAGCTGGTTAAAATTCAGATGCCTGGCCTCATCCCCAAAGCCCAAGTCAGTGAAGCTGGGAAGTGACTCGTAAAAAAATGACTCATAATGGTTACAAGTCGGACTGCTAACCTCAAGGTCAGCAGTTCAAAACTACCAGCCATTCTGTGTGAAAAAGATGAGGCTTTCTGCTCCTGTAAAGATTTACAGCCCCAGAAAACATGCAGGGTTGCTGTGAGTCGGAACCGACTCCAGGGCACACCACCACCACCACCATGAGCAGGCAGTAAGTATGTCATCAGGTAGAAAAAAGATCTCAGATATGACCCTCCCTGAGTTCCAGCCAGGGTACCTCCATCAGTGGTGATAGAGCCCAGTGAGAAAGCCACAGAGCAACGGATGTCTTTAAGACACATTTTATTTCACTTTTGTTGTTGTTGGATGTCATCAAGTCAATTTTGGACTCACAGTGACCTCTGGTGCCCAAGTGCCACTGTTCTGTAGAGTCTCCTAAGCTGTAAGATTTACGGAAGCAGATCACCAGGACTTTCTCCCTAGTAAAGTCTGGTAGGTTCAAACCACTGACCTTTAGGTTATCAATCGAGTGCTTAGCCATAGCTTTTTGGTAGTGTCTTACTACTTTCAAGTTTCATACAGAGAAAGTACTTGGTATGATTTCAATCCTTTTTTAATTTATTGAGGTTTGTTTTGTGGCCTCATAGATAGTCTACTATAGAGAATGTTCTGTGTGAGCTGGAGAGCGTGTACTGTGCTGCTCTTGGGTGGCGTGTTCTATATGTGTGTGAGGTCCAGTTGGTTAATAGTAGTATTCAGGTCTAGAATAATGGGTTACCAGTTGGACGACTAACTGCAAGGTCACCAGTTTGAATCTACCAGCCACTCCTTGGGAGAAAGATGAGACTCTCTGCTTCCATCAAGATTCCCAGCCTCAGTTGGAATTGTCTCAGTAGTACATAACCACCACTACCACCCGATACATCTTTATTGATTTTCTTTGTAGTTATATCTGTTATCAAAAAAAGCATATTGAAATCTTTTATTCTAAATCTGTCTCTTTAATTCCATTAAAATCTGCTACATGAATGTTGGTCTCTGGCATTGAATGCATGAATATTTACAGTTATGTCTTGGTGAGCTGTTCCTTTTATCATTATATAATGGCTTTTATTATCTTTTATAGTGGATTTTGACTTAAAGTCTATTTTGTCAGGTATTAATATTGCCACTCCTGCTTTCTTGATTACTGTTTGCTTGCTATGTTTTGTTTATTTTTCTCATCCTTACGTTTTTAACCTATTTATGTCTTTGTGCATAAAGAGTGTGTGTGTGTGTGTGTCTTGACACCAACATACTGATCAGTCAAAGTTTTTTAATCCTTTCAGCCACTGTCTAGCTCTTGATTGGTGCATTTAATGCATTGGTATTCAGTGTGATTATCAATAGGGAAGAATTAACTGCAGCTCTATGTGTGTGTGTGTGTGGTTGTAATGGCTGCTTTGTTTTTATTTTTTGTGCTGAGTTCCTTTTTGCATTTGGGTGTTAGTTCCTTTCATTTACCAAATCTTTAGTTCTACCCCGTACAGTTCTTTACCAACTTCAGCGTCTCCCTGGTAGACATATGTTGTAACCATATTATGTTGTTGTTGTTATCCATAATATGATGCAAAAAAAAAAAAAAAAAGAGAGAGAGAGAGATAGTAGTGCAAAAATACCTCCCAGGGAGAAGGAGCAGTTGGCAAACAACTGTAGAAGTGTTATATACATAAAAATAGGGTATTAGTACTTTTATGTTTACTGAGACTTTGTTTTTCTCTCCCTTAATTTTGGTGAGTAGACTTATTAATTTTCTTTGTGACTATCCTGAAGTTTACATTTGACACCCTACATTTCAAGCAGTCTGTTGTATCTTGAAACCACAGTAATTTCCTAACCAAATGGAAGTTCTGTAACTAAACCCGTTAGTCCCTGTTTTGTTTTCTATTCAGAACCTTCTGTAATCATTTTTGTTCACTTTATTTTACTGTCTTCACCTGGCTTGGTATCAGAATGTTGCCAACACGTGTCTTCACCTCAGGCTTGCATCTGATATACTTGGTTTTCTATCTGAAGGGTTCCCTTTGATATTTTCTGTGGGTCTGTTCTGGTGTGTACAAATGCCCTTAATTTCTGCTTATCAGAGAATGTCCTAATTTTCCCCTGAATTTTGAGTAGCAAAATTTGACAGATATATAATGCTTGCTTGACAGTTCTTTTCTTTCAGAGCTTTGTAAATTGTTTCCCATTGTCATCCTGTTTGCATAGTTTCTAAGGAGAAATCAGCATGCAGTCTTAACCTGGGGATATTTCATTTTTACCATACCCTGCTTTCAAATGCTTTCTTTGTCCTTGGATCTGGAAATTTTGATTATGTTGTCTTGGTGAATTTCTCTTCTGGTCTGCTCTGTATGGAGTTTGTTAAGGTTCTTGGATGAAAATCTGTTTTTTGAGATACTTGCAAAATTCTCTGTCATTCTTTCTTCAGATATTACAGTAATCTTTCTTTATCTGCAGAAGATAAGTTCCAAGTCCCCCAGTGGATACCTGACAATACTGAATTCTGTATACACAGTGTGTTTTTCTTATACATGCACACAACCCAGCCAGTACTCAGCATTCCCGGGAAGGCAGCATTAAGCCATAGGAAGCTAGCAGGGCCCAGTACAGCCTGTCCCCAACTGTATATTTCAGACTCTTTGCTGATGGAAGAGAAGGTAGCTGATAAGATTTCATCACACTACTTAAAAAATAGTTTCAGACTGTCTGAGGTTGACTGTGGGGAACTGAAACTGAAGAAAAGAAAACTGCAGATAAGGAGGGGCTACTGTATTTTTGGAGTCCAGGTGTGGCACTGTGGGTTAATGTGCTGGACTGTGAAGGCAGTATGAACCTTCAAGGTCGGCTGTTCAAGCTCACCAGTCGCTCCTTGGGGAAACAGGTGCACTGTCAGACTGAAATATCTTCTGGCATGAAGCTCCTCAGTCCTAAAGTTCATTTGGTAGGATCCTGCCAAGGCAACTGCGGCTCCAGCCATTACATTAGGGATGAGTTAATGAAATATTTGAATATAGCAGGCTAATTTTTAAGTTGATCATCATGTATGGCCTGGAAATGATGTTTTAAATTTGGGCAGAAAAAAAGGTTCCCCACCCCTACCTTAGATAAAGGGCACAGATGTGCTCTGTTGCCGGGGGCTATCACTGTTCTGGAAACCTAGGGGAATCCAGGCCGGACCAAATGATGATTGTGGCCCTTACTTGGCCCCGGGGATGGACATTCCCCGATTTAGTCCGCCCTGCAGCCCTTTGTTCCCTGTGGTTCCCCAGTTTCAGTGTGATGCTGTTCCTGTACAGCATTCTCTTTGTCTCTCAGACCCAAAGTGCTGGGTTCTCATCTCGTCATGTCGTTCCAGTACTGTTCATGCGTTCCTTCTGTCTCAGGCTCTATGTTTCTGGCTCTTTATGGGCTCCTCACTCAGGGATGCTGTGTGTTGTTGTTGTGTGCCACAGAGTTGGTTCGGACTCATAGTGACTCTGCATTAGGGTTTCTGAGGAGCAGCTGGTGGATTTGAACCACCAGCCTTGCGGTTCAGTCCGAACTTAAGGTCGAGTGCTTATCCTATGGCACTACACCAGGACTCCTTTTCCTCTCTAGCTACAAGAAAAATATGAATGTATTTGTAAGTATTAAAATTGCAAATTTATATGGACGTACCAAGGGCTTTTAAGGAGACAAAAATACCATATGAATAGTCTCCCCTATAGTCACATAATACCAAATTGTCTTGGAAATTAGCCTCAAATGGACAGTAAATAATCAACAGTTTATGCCATGAAGTAGAATTTCAGGAGTTTTTCTCACCAAATTGCCTTGTTCTTTTTTTTTTTTTCCCATCTCAGAAATTAGCAAGTTCCTTAAAAGCTCATATATGTAGTCATGCTTTTTAAAAGCTTGTAACGCTTTATTTTCGAAGTTAAGGAAAAGTCTGTAATGAGGCTTAACAAGTAATCAGACTCATGGAAGTATTAAAATGCCAGAGATGGATCTGAGAATATAGACTACGAAATATTTGTTTGTTACTTTCCACTAGTGATTTTAGCACTTGGTTGTGATTTTTTTTTTTTTTTTAATGATTTTGATTTTATAGTTCCCTTATATAGTATAATTCCTTGCTATTCCTTAAGTTTTTCCCAGGGAGCAGCAGCACTAGCTTGTTAGAAAGACAGACACTTAAGTCCCATCTCAGACCTAGTAGGGACATTTTAACAAGAGAAGAACTGATTTGCATGCACTGTAAAATTT